CCCCCCCCTTCCCTCCTCCTCTGGTAGTTGCCAACGGTCGCTATTTAGGCGAATTTCTTACGCTTTATTCACCTCTCAATTTTCTTTCACTTTCCCCACTTTCCCCTCTCTCCCTTTCTACACTTTTCCTTCATTGTAGCCTCAGTTTCCCCTCACCTCCCCTCTCCCCCCTCAGTTCCCCGGAGCTGGAGAAGGACCTGCAGCAGCTGGAGGAGGGCCTGCGCTTCCTGACGGCGGAGGTGGCGTGGCACGAGAGCTCCTCCCCCTCCTCCCCCGCGGACCGCTACTCCCGGGCACTCAACGAGTTCCTGGCCTACGCGAGGGGCGTCGTGGCCGACCTCAGGGCGCAGTATGATGACCTCACGAGGGTGGTGAGTGGCATAAATACGATAGAAGATATGGCGGGTTGGTTACACGAAACTGAACGGGCAGCTGGTCACTGGTCGGTGCACGCCCGACATTCTCCCTCTCCTCTGTCTCGCTGCCGACTGCCTCGTATGCGCGCCTGTGGCCTTATATATACCCCCAGCGGGAACCCCCCCTCCTCCCCCCTCCTGTGGTAGTTGCCAACGGTCGCTATTTAGCCGAATTTCTTACGCTTTATTCACCTCTCACTTTTCCTTGGGAACGCAGCCGTGCACCACCAATTTTGTGCACCAATAAGCCCTGAATCGAACGCCTTGGATCTCTCCGGACCTACACCAATCAGCCGTGCAAGTAGTGAATATGGCTACCCTCTTCAGTTTATTGACTTAAAATATTTTCAGAAGCTACCTGGATGGGCAAGGGCGAACTGTCCCTAAGATTTAAAATTTTAAATGAACCTTACAGATATAATTGTGTTTCTGCCTTCATCAAGCGGCATAGAAATTTAAAAAAATATAACTCAGTACTCACTGCAGTGAGTGACAGAGAGCGCATTTTCTCGTCGACGAAAACTTGAAGTCACGGACGGACGGACAGACGGACGGACATGGCGAGCACAATAGCGCCTTTTTTCCATAAATCAGAAAATGCGCTAAAAAGACCAGCAAACCTACGCAAAAAACTGCTACTAGTGAGCCTACCACTACACCCACTAAATGTGACTAAGTCATAAGCGACAAATACGCACAAAAAATTCCTAAGCAGAGCGGATATAATAATATAATGGATATTTTTGTGACTTTCATAGAAGCAAAAGTTGAGAAGAAAACCGTTTTTAATTTTAAACATATTGCTTCTGAAGGGAGAATATTTCTTTGAAGTTATGAAATACAACACTCGAGGGCAGCATGGTTTAAAAAATGGCTTAGAGGTTTGGATGTATAAAGATCGTTAAAATAATGTAAATAGTAGTTTAGTGAATATTAGAATAGAAAATGTTTGTAAATAGTGGGTATATATCAATGAGCAGACCTTACATACGCAAGTTACATTACAATACAATAATCAATAATGTATTGTTAGAGAATATCTTCATAACAGATGATTTTATGGCGGAGGAACGCTGGCATTCGTAATACTTGATTAGCAGTTTGAAATTAAACAAGATTATGGGAGGATATAAAGAGAAAACCTAAGTAGATTGATAAATGAAACTGAATTAATAAATAGATTATAAATGAAATGGATTAATAAATGAATTATAAATGAAATGGATTATTAAATAGATTATAAATGAAATGGATTAATAAATCGATTATAAATGAAATGGATTAATAAATCGATTATAAATGAAATGGATTAATAGATTATAAATGAAGTGGATTGATAAATAGATTATAAATGAAGTGGATTAATAAATAGATTAATAATGAAATGGATTGACAAATATATTAGAAATGAAGTGGATTGATAAATAGATTATAAATGAAGTGGATTGTTAAATAGATTATAAATGAAATGGATTAATAAATCGATTATAAATGAAATGTATTGATAAATTGATTATAAATGAAGTGGATTGATAAATTGATTAGAACTCAGGATGATCTTATAACAGTCCTACGAACCTCATCCGTTGATTTCACGTCTTCAGCTCCGTTGATAACAGCAGCGTCAACTCGAGTGTCTTCGTTGACGTCTTCACTAGGACGCATTTTCTTCATTTTCTTGTTCTTCTTTAGTTTCTTCTTTGCTTTTGTTTTGTTCTTAACTTCCTTTTTAGCTTTTTTCGTGAACCTTTCCTTGTTCTCCGTTCCATTCCCCCCTTCCACCATTCCACTCCGCTTTTCCGAGGTTGCGCTCAAGACATTGATCTCATTATATTAAGCTCTACCTGAGGATCAGGTTTCGTTGACTAAGGTAGTGAGGATAAGTAAGACACATAAGTCCAGATAACGTATCTTGTATACGGGGTGGTAATACAGAGTTGCGATGCAGAGTTATAAGCTACGGGGTGGTTATTATACGGGCTGGTTATACATTACGGTATATACAGAGGTATAAGCTACGGCATCGGCCGTAAGGTCGGAGAACTCTACCGACACGCTATATCGCGGAGTGCTCATCAGCTACTGGGACCTTACTTAGGTTTGCTAGCCCTTATATAGCCTTCGCTTCCGCCCACAACTAAGGTCTTGATCGCGTGATCTATCACGTGTTCCTAGACCTTATATAGCCTTCGCTTCCGCCCACTGTTAAGGTCTTGATCGCGTGATCTATCACGTGTTGCTAGACCTTATATAGCCTTCGCTTCCGCCCACAACTATAAAGGTCTTGATCACGTGATCTATCACGTGTTCCTAGACCTTATATAGCCTTCGCTTCCGCCCACTGTTAAGGTCTTGATCGCGTGATCTATCACGTGTTGCTAGACCTTATATAGCCTTCACTTCCGCCCACAACTAAGGTCTTGATTGCGTGATCTATCACGTGTTGCTAGACCTTATATAGCCTTTGGCTTCCGCCCACAACTAAGGTCCTGATCGCGTGATCTATCACGTGTTCCTAGACCTTATATAGCCTTCGCTTCCGCCCACTGTTAAGGTCTTGATCGCGTGATCCAACACGTGTCTATGTAACACATATGCTGTAAGCCAAGGTCTCAGTGACACCGTGCACTCAATAGCTAACTAGGTCTGTTGGTAAACACATTAGGACTTGTTTCCGCGACCTCCTCTCGGACATCGGGAAGGGGGTTACCGGTTATGAGGTGTGGAGGTGGGGATTATGAGTTGAGAGGGGGGTTATGAGGTGAGGGGGGGTTATGAGGTGAGGGGGGGTTATGAGGTGTGAAGGTGAGGGTTATAAGGTGAGGGGAGGGGGGTTATGAGGTGAGGGTAGGGGTTGAATGAGGTAAGGAGGGTAGGGTGGGGGTTATGAGGTGGGGGGTTCCTAAGAGCGGGTGTATAGTTTTTTGTGCATGTGATTTTTATTAATAGTTTTCTAGTGTCTACATTTTTTATTTTTATTTTTTTTTCAATTCNTTGTTGTCAGAGCAGCTACTCTTGAAATAATTATTATAATATATAATAATTATATAAAATACAATAAAATATATTACATAATTTTCGAAATTAAACTTTAAATCCACGCTCAAGTCCTCTATAATAAAGCTATTATATTCTATTTAAATACATACAAATATTTATTTAAATCTATTTCTCCGCCACATTATCTTCATTCACTTGACTTGCTGTATTTAATTATATTTGCCAATTGCGAAATATAGTTCAATTTTTATATAATTATTATAATTTTTAATGATAATATACAAAATATATTATATAATGTGCGAAAATAAATTTTTAATCTATGCATTCCCTTCAGTTTTGCAATGCCTTGCTTTTGTCTAACTCAGAATAGATGTTCAGATTGAGACAATATCCCACATATTTATTTGATTATTACAAGAAGAATTAAGTATTGGAACAGCGTTTGAAGTTATAGACATTATATACTTATGAATAGTTATTTATATGTATTATGTGTAGGTAGTGTTACATATGCTATTCAAAACTTATTCATCTATGACGTGTTCAACTCGACGCTATAAACATACATAATTACTTTGTCCATACAAAAACATCTATTCAAAGTCACTCAGATAAATCAGGATGACTTTGTCCAAATAAAAATACACTTTTTGCCCCCATGTGGGTCACCCTGACTCAGTTTTATTGATAAAATTTAATTGGATTCTTCCTGGTTGAAGGTTCCCAGGAATGTGTGCGAACTCAATAAAACTTAACTCTTATTAAAAGTTATTTATCCTTTTATAAGCGTTAAACGTTATTTTTCCTTCACAAACGTTATTTTTATTTTATTTGAACGTTATTTTCGTGTGAATATTTCTCCATAATACACGTCGTTCATAATTACTTATGTCTGCAGTTTGAGCTTTGATTATCGTACGAAATATTACACTGTTAGAAAAAACGGCGAAAAAACAGTCCCCCCGGCATCCTAGTGGCCGGTGGCCCCGTGAAAATAAACTGTTTCGCCGTTTTTATCAGATGTTTTACGGATTTCTAGTGTTAAATAAGAATAAAAACAGTGAAACGGTGTTTCTTTTCACGTGCCCACCGGCCACTGAAACGCCGGTAATACCGTTAACGGAAATTTTTCTAACAGTGTACATTACGTAACGCAAGTTTCGTATATAATAACCACTTGAATTACTTGAATTATTTTAATTAGTGAGTTATTCAAATTACTTGAATTGCTTGAATTAGTTGATTTATTTTAATTACTTGGTCTCCGAAAAGTTTCGCTGCAGACATGTTAATGTTGAATTGAGTACTCATATACAATACTATAGAATAGTGATATACGATTATATTGTAATATTATATTAAGATACTGTATTGTAGTAATATACATTGTCTCGATATTAGCGAGGAAATATTGCTCTGTTTACTCTGAAATATTGAATACTTGTTGTCAGAGCAGCTACTCTGGACTGATCCAGAGTCCAGTAATATAATATAATAGTTATATAACAGAGTTTAATAATAAAGCTATTATATTCTATTTAAATACATACAAATATTTATTTAAATCTATTTCTCCGCCACATTATCTTCATTCACTTGACTTGCTGTATTTAATTATATTTGCCAATTGCGAAATATAGTTCAATTTTTATATAATTATTATAATTTTTAATGATAATATACAAAATATATTATATAATGTGCGAAAATAAATTTTTAATCTATGCATTCCCTTCAGTTTTGCAATGCCTTGCTTTTGTCTAACTCAGAATAGATGTTCAGATTGAGACAATATCCCACATATTTATTTGATTATTACAAGAAGAATTAAGTATTGGAACAGCGTTTGAAGTTATAGACATTATATACTTATGAATAGTTATTTATATGTATAATGTGTAGTGTTATGTATGATATTCAGCACTTATATATCTACGATGTATACAACTTGACGCTAGAAGCATACATAATTACTTTGTCCGTATACAGAAACATCCATTCAAATTCACACAGATAAACGAGTAAGACTTTGTGCAAATAAAAAATACACTTTTTGCCCCCATGTGGGTCACCCTGACTCAGTTTGGTTGATACAATTTAATTTGATTATTCCTGGTTGAAGGTTCCCAGTAATATGTGAGAACTCAATAAAACTTAACTCGAAATAAACGTTATTTTTTCTTTTTTGTATGAAAATTTCTTCAAAATATTACAATACGTGACACAAGTTCCGTACACTTCGCATTTACTGCGAAGTGTACGATGCAATTATCTGCCCTTGAGTGGGTCATCCTGACCCAGTTTAGCACTTCACAAGCGCGTATCAGTGCTACGACCGCTTTCTGCTCGTGCTGTGGGGTAAGAAAGTGTGTCACGGGGCACTATTTGGAGTTTGGACAATATCACCCATTAATTTTATTCAGTGTCTGGTGGCGCTCCTGCCACGGAATCAAAGTTTATTAACTAATTTTAACGTCAATTTTCAATAAACTTTCCTTAAAAATTTAAAATTTTCAACAGCCTTTTGTTAATTTTTTACACCCATTTTCCGCAAAAAATTTGCCCCAAAAAATTTCTCCAAAAATTTCCCCGAAAAATTTTCAAAAAATTTGCCCTATAAATTTTCCCAAAAATTCCCCGAAAATTTTTCGTGAAAATGATTCCCCTTTTTCCCCCCCAGAAGCGGAAGGAGCACCTGGAGACCCTGCGGCGTAAGGAAAAGGACGGTCCCCCCCACCAGGAGGGGGGCCAGGAGCTGTCGCCCCCCTCCGCCGCCCCCCACCAGGAGAAGCAGTTCGACGACCTCATCTGCGCCCTCAGGTCCGGCGACGTCTTCGGCAAGGACATCGACAAGATGAGGCGCAAGAAGAAGCCTAAAATATAAGAGGCCTGTGGCCTGATAGGCCTAAAGAAAGAGGCCTATAGCCTAATAGGCCTAAAACTTAAGAGGCCTATAGCTTGATAGGTCTAAACGAAGAGGTCTATAGCCTAATAGGCCTAAAGAAAGAGGCCTATAGCCTGATAGGCCTATAGCCTAATAGGCCTATAACATAAGAGGCCTATGGCCTGATAGGCCTAAAACATCAGAGGTCTATAGCCTAATTGGCCTATAACGTAAAAGCCTGTGGCCTATAATAGGCCTGAAGAAAGAGGCCTATAGCCTAATATGTCTAAAACATAAGAGGCCTGTGGCCTGATAAGCCTGAAAAAGGAGGCCTAGAAGTGCTCAAATGGCTTTAATAATAAGCCTAATAATATTGGAATGACCTGCATAATAGGCGTAAAAGGTTTTCTTCATGGACATACGAGACGTATCACAACGAAGACACGGACGCACCAGACGTATGACATAACGAAGTCATGGACGAACCAGACGTATAACATAACGAAGACACGGACGCACCAGACGTATGACAACGAAGACACGGACGCACCAGACGTATGACAACGAAGACACGGACGCACCAGACGTATGACAACGAAGACACAGACGCACCAGACGTATGACAACGAAGACACGGACGCACCAGACGTATGACATAACGAAGACTTAGAGGTATATTAAACCATCAGATATACGCTATAGTGAGTACATTAGAGCTGTCGGCTGCAAGGAGACAAGAGCGCCAGTATTGGTATATTATATAATTAAGTCTTGGTTTATCGTATAATTAAGTTTTGGTATATTGTATAATTAAGTTTTGGTATATTGTATAGTTAAGTATAGGAATATTGTATAGTTAAGCGATATAATTAAGTTATTAATATTGTAGACATAAGGATTTCAAAGCTAGCAGTTGCCTGGCATTTTTTTCTGGCGCCGCCCACGGCCACGCACCATCATTCAGAATTATGAGAGGGGTAAATTGTCCTAATAATGCTGCACTTTCTGCACGCAGCGCTGAATTACCGTTTTTGTCTGTCCCAAGTAGGTCAGGTTGACCCACATAAGAGCAAAAAGTGCATCGCTATTTGGACAAATTCTCACTCATTTCTCTGAATGCGCAGTTGCGTGCTACAAAAAAAAGCAATGTTTTGTGCCGTCGTGGAATAGTGAAAAAAGCGAAAAAGTGGAAATAGCGAAATAGTGAAAATAGCGAAATAGTGGAAATAGTGAAATAATTTCACACCTAAGATGTCATTTCACTAAATAGGTGAAAAGTAAAATTTATAAATGAGATAAATTGGTGATGAAATTTGTAAATGATGAAATTGAATATTCGTTCATACAAGTTGGTGCGTATAATATGTGAACCCGAGAAATTTAGTTAAAGAACTAGAAATGAATTTGAGAATATATCAGACTAATTAATGGAGATATTCCACAAATAATGATAGAAGCGGAGACTATTGAAGATTTCAAGTCCCGATATATGATATTAGTTTGTACTGGTGCAGCATGGAGCGCAAGAAATTCGTCACGCGGGTTGTGTTGCAGGAACACGGTGACGTCACGCGGGTTGTGTTGCAGGAACACGGTGACGTCACGCGGGCTGTGTTGCAGGAACACGGTGAAGGATTCCGTATTTATTATAAGTAGCAGGATTCTTGTCTTTAAGTTAAGCTTGTATAAGCAAACTGGTGCCATGTTCCTTAGTTTTAAAGCGTTAAATATTATATAGTGAATGTTTCGCTCACCTCCAAAGACATCAGTATTTCATATATATTTGCAGTTTTATAATTTATTTATTATTAATTCATTGTATTTATAAATGTTTTCTATGCTTCGTTCTGGAAAATTTTCAAGGAATTTCTTCTCGTTTTCTTGTACTGAAATTAGATCCTCGAAAAACCTTAAGGATGTTCTTTCTTCTCACTTATGGAGTAATTCCATTTATTTCCTGCCTTATTTATTAAAAATAAGGGATTTAACTTATATCGTTCCTGCATTTAATTACCTATGAAAGGTAATTATTATGTAAATTACCTATGACAAAGTAATAATAATTCAGTTACCCCTTCACTTAATTACAAATTCACTATTTTTAGGTACCCACGTTTGGGGATCACTCAAAGATCTCGTTTATAAGTCATAAATGTAAATATATTCTAGATTTTCTCACTAGTTCAATAGAATATCCTAGAGTTTTGTACATAATTTTTAATATTGGGAAGTTAGGGTAAAAAATCTCGTTATTTTAGAGGACATTTCATTTTATTTCGCCTCGTGCGAGCGAAAATTAGCTCTTTATTTCTTTTGATTGGTAATTTGGGCGATTTCATTATCACATTTTATTTTATATTCGATGTGTCAGGCATTTGGTCGGTATGTCTATTTTTATAAGGAAATTTATTGCCGAGTTTCAGGGAATTTTCATCAATTTAGGGTAACACAATTGTAAAAATTTACCCCCAAGCAGCGTCGCCAGATTATGTAGGAGATACTCGCGTAAAACTGCCATGACGTTTGTAAGTCATTAACAATAATATTGTTCGTACTTAATACTTACATTTACTCAATACAAATATTACTTAATATCCCTTATATATAATATAAACAAGTTTGTACGTACTGCACAATTTTTATTTCGTTATTGCACGCTATATTTAAGTCTTCATTTTGTAACGCCATCGCCGCACTACTTTACTTCTTAATTTGTACTAGAAATTACGCTGGGTAAGACTAGTATTCTAGTGCGGGCTCTCCATTTTGCGACATTGTAACGCGATGTTCTTTTAGAGTTCACTCGCAGTCACTCAATGAAATAAGTTAGGCTTTGTCCAAATATCGATGCACTTCTTGCCCATGTGGGTCATCCTGACCCAGTTTGGCCCGGGAAAGGGCGTATCAGTGCTACTGGCGCTCTCGTCTTGTGCTGTGGGTAAGAAACTATGTCGCTATTGGGACAATATGACCTATTTATTCTCCTGAGTGATGTGGTGATAATTTTTTCTTATTTTTTATACTGCGAATGATTAATAATTTGCGAGACAATAAAGACGAGTTGAAAACTAACTAATTAAATAAACAGTAAATTAACAATTATGGTTCCGCCGTTTCGCTCAATTGTGTCGGAGTTTCATTAAAAGTTCGTATCAAAATAAACGGTTTTATTTTCACCTATTTTGCCCAGTCTAAATTACCCCGAATATCGAAAATTAATGATAAATAAATCATTTATCCTGTGACGGTAGGCACCGTTGCCACTTTTGAGTACCGTAAAGTGGGATAACTTGGACCATTTTGACCCTTTTGACATGACCCAGTCAAACCTTAGCCAATTATGATGGTTACAAAAAGGGGGGGGGCAAAGCCCCTTAATGGGGGACTTTGCCCAGTCTAAATTACCCCGAATATCGAAAATATTTGTTAATAGTGAGCGTGTAAATGCTTATAATGCTCAGCCTGTAAGGCGAGGTGATATGAACATGCACATACTGTTTAGGAAACCTTAAGTACAGACCTTACATATGCACGTTACATTACAATACAATAATATATTGTTAGAGAATATGTTGATAACCGATAATTTTATGGCGGAGGAACGCTGTAATTCGTAATACTTGATCAGCAGTTTGAAATGAAACAAGATTATTGCAGAAAATATAGACAAAATTTAAATAGATTAATGAATGAAGTGGATTGATAAATTGATTATAAATGAAGTGGATTGATAAATTGATTATAAATGAAGTGGATTGATAAATTGATTATAAATGAAGTGGATTGATAAATTGATTATAAATGAAGTGGATTATTAAATTGATTAGAACGCAGGATGATATTATAACAATCCTACGAACCTCATCCGTTGACTTCATGTCTTCAGCTCCGTTGATAACAGCGGCGTCAACTCGAGTGTCTTTGTTGACGTCTTCGCTAAGACGCATTTTCTTCATTTTCTTGTTCTTCTTTAGTTTCTTCTTTGCTTTTGTTTTGTTCTTAACTTCCTTTTTAGCTTTTTTCGTGAACCTTTCCTTGTTCTCCGTTCCATTCCCCCCTTCCACCATTCCACTCCGCTTCTTGCTCACAACTTTTTCACCTTTTTTCTTCAGCTTGTGAAGTTTATCAACAACATCATCATTATAATCATCCTTTTCATCATCATTCTCATCATCAAAGTCACCATTTTCGGTTATTTCGTTGTTCTTCAGTTCACTCTTCTTTTGTTCCTCAACATCATCATCATTATCATCACACTCTGCATCACTATCAGCAGCAGTAGCATTATCATCATCACATTCTGCATCACTATCATGAGCAGCATCATCATTTACGAGGCCATCATTATCATCGGAGAAGGATGACTCGGAGTCATCATCCGCAGGGCATCTCTGGTCCCCCGTGACATCTCCCGTGGCGCCCCCCACGACTGCTCAGATTTTATTCATGTAATTCAGCGTAAAATTAAATAAAATTGAAGTAACAAATTGAATTAATGATTAATGAAGTAAATGAATGAATAATTAGGTAAAACAATGAAGTAAAAAAAATACTCATGAAGTAAATGAATAATTAATGAATGAAATTGAAATGATTGTTGCTATGGTGATACACGTTACAATGATGATAGCCACTTGCTTGNTCATAGGTAATGATTTACTGATTAATGGTGATTAATAGACTAACTGGCGAGGGTGATTACTGATTAAATGATTTACTGTTATGTGTTAATTATTGCTCATCATTTACTGATTAATAGTGATTAATAGACTAACTGGCAAGGGTGATTACTGATTAAACGATTTAATGATTAATACTGGTTATAACCACACTTATTATCTGTTAATCATCCTTGATGATTTACTGATTAATGGTGATTAATAGACTCACTGAATAGAATGATTAAATGATTTACTGATTAATAGTGATTATGCCCATGTGTAGCATCTGTTATCATAGGTAATGATTTACTGATTAATGGTGATTAATAGACTAACTGGCGAGGGTGATTACTGATTAAATGATTTACTG